GACACACAGATGAACTGTCATGACAGTCAAAATCCCCCCAACAAAAGCTGTTGACAATCCAGTATTATTAAATTTATTCTATCACTCTTCCTTATAATATTTCCAGATGTTTCTAAACTGTACACTTTAAAAAAAAAATCCTGTAAAAAAAACGGTAAACTACTGGCAGCTGTGGTTGCCAGCATCGTACCGTAACTATACGGTGTGTTACTGTTTTTGTGTTAGAGCATACAGCTGTTAAATTAAAGTTTTATACTCCAGCTGACAATATACGGTTTTTAGCTGTTCATTTCAAAAACAGTAACACACCGTATTTTGACGGTGTGATGCTGGCAACCACAGCTGCCAGTAGTTTACTGGGTTTTTTTTAACAGGATTATTTTTTAGACAAAATGATTCAAGTGAGCTAGTTATTGATCCATCTACATTAACAGAACAGCACCAGCTTACCCAGTCAGCCCATGTTATCTTATAGACAGTGTTAATTTATATCCAAGTCTAACAAAAGTCTTTTGTCATGCTAACATGTGCAGGCCAGTGATTGCATTGGATGAACTCTTATTGACTTTCATCCAACTGCATGTAAAACACTTTTTTCTGTTTGCTGCCTAAAGGCATATACGGACCGTAAGTAAAAGCAACTTTTTGACAACCATTAGTGTCCTTAATATGATGTCACTGAATATTCATTAGCTAGACATGCATCCAGTTTTCAAAGGTCAGTAAGCTTCTTTTCACTAGTCAACATCTGCATGCATTCATGCCATACAAATTACAGTTTATTAAAATGATGAAAAGGTGGAATAATCAAATAGAGTAATAAAGAATGTGAAAGGTTGTAGTATAACAGGGTCTTTGAGACACTCAAGACTTCTGTTGCAAAGTGACCTAGATGCCTATGGCTATTCATAGCAACATGAATTTTTTATACTCAGTTTTGGGGTATTACAATTCTTTGAGGGGGAAAAAACATAAGGTAAAATACATCAAGGGCATGGCTTCCTTGCAAATTAACTCATGAATATGGAAGTCTTCAAACAGATTTCAGACTCTTGGCAGATATACACGTTGGCATGGATACTATCTGGAAGATGCTTTCTCAATTTAATGAAGCCAAATTTTTTTTTTAGTTAATTAAGTGTTCAAGGTTGCCATTGTACCACACTGTAGTGTAAAGTCAGAGTCCCCATGGAGCATGAGGTCTTCCCACGCTGACTGTCCGTCCATTCCTCATTCAGTCAGTGGAAGCCCCAGTCCTCGATGACAGTTGGCCAAGCCCATTGCAGCTTCTCCTGAGGCATCGGATAACGCTCTGTTAGGATGTGGAGTGCATTGCAGCTTTCCAGGTGTATTTATCACCTTGCCCTTGCAAGCGCAGGAGAAGGAGTGCTTCTATCGCTCCACCAAATCCAGTGGTCCTGGTGGACCTGACTTCGGTGATGATGAATCAAGTGTTCCTGGAGGACCTGACTCTATTGGTCCCAAGTCCGATGGTCTTGGAGTACCTGGTCCCAGTGGTTCCAAGTCTAATGGTCCTGGAGGAACCGACTCCTGTGGATCCAAGTCTGATGGTCCTGAAGGAACTAACTTTGTTGGTCCCAAGTCCAATGGTACTGGAGGACCTGACTCAGGTGGTCCCATGTCCAGTGTACCTGGAGTATCTAACTCCAGTGGTCCCAAGTCCAATCATCCTGGAGGAACTCACTCAGGTGGTCCCATGTCCAGTGTACCTGGAGTACTTAACTCCGGTGGTCCCAAGTCCAACCATCCTGGAGGAACTGACTCCGGTGGTCCCAAGTCCGATGGTCCTGGTGTACCTGACTTCAGTGGTCCCAAGTCCGATGGTCCTGGATGACCCGACTCCAGTGGTCCCAAGTCCAGTGTTCCTGGTGTACTTGTCTCAGGTGGTCCCAAGTCCAACCGTCCTGGAGGATCTGACTCCGTTGGTCCCAAGTCCGATGGTCCTGGTGTAACTGACTCCCGTGGTCCCAAGTCCGATGGTCCTGGTGTACCTGATTTCAGTTGTCCCAAGTCCGATTTTCCTGGACGACCCGACTCCAGTGGTCCCAAGTCCAGTGTTCCTGGTGTACTTATCTCAGGTGGTCCCAAGTCCAACCATCCTGGAGGAACTGACTCCAGTGGTCCCAAGTCCGATGGTCCTGGAGGAACAGACTCCGGTGGTCCCAAGTCCGATGGTCCTGGACGACCCGACTCCAGTGGTCCCAAATCCGGTGTTCCTGGTGTACTTAACTCCGGTGGTCCCAAGTCCAACCGTCCTGGAGAAACTGACTCCGGTGGTCCCAAGTCCGATGGTCCTGGTGTACCTGATTTCAGTGCTCCCAAGTCTGATTGTCCTGGACGACCCGACTCCAGTGGTCCCAAGTCCAGTGTTCCTGGTGTGCCTGACTTCAGCGGTCCCAAGTCCGATGGTCCTGGAGGACCTGAAGGTTGGTGGTTCAATCCCATGTTCACCAGACCAAATGTTGAGGTGTCCATGAGCAAGACACCTAACCCCAGCTGCTCCCGATGAGCTGGATGGCGCCTTGCCTGGCTTACACCGCCGTGTGAACGTGAGGCAATATGTAAAGTGCTTTGGTGGCCATTGGGTCTGTGAAAACGCTAACTAAAATGCAGTCCATTTACCATTATGTGTGTCTGGGCTGCATACAACTCCCTGTTGGCTACTTCTGCTCCAGTCTCTCCTGAGCCACCTAATCAGTCACGGCCATGGAGGCCATTCAGTCCTGCCGTGGCCAAGAGCTTAGTCTTCACCTTTTACGCCATGGTTGTCCTGTGCGCCTGGGCAGCGCACGCCTCTTGGCTTCCTCCATTACTGTTTGCCAGCCAGAGTCCCCTCGAGAGTCCTGCTCTGTCTTGCTTGTTGTATGAGTTCATGATGCTTGATTACAGTTTTTTATTTATTTATTTTTTATCAGTGTACCATTAATAACAAAAGCAAAGTGCATCAGTCCATTTTATCCGGTTATGTTATGGCCTCATGCAATCTCATAAAGGTCTTATGGCTCATCAGGCTGGAAAACCCTGTTTGTAAGCTTCATTTTTTAAGCAAATACTTCATTTCGCCCTCAAGACATAGACTGCTTTATCTCTGTATGCTCCTGCTGAGGGGAAGAGATGTCATTTTAAAGTCTACAGGTCAAATTCGGTCAGAAATACAGTCCGTGTAGGGATCAGCAATTTAAAAATGCTGCAGAATACAAGCGCTTGTCGCTTGACAATAGCCCCAGCACACTTATTTGGAGTTTTTTCCCCCCAGCAAATATCGAAATACATGTTTAATTGGGATTTATTAATTTGAAAATGATGTAATTAATTTCATTCAATTGTTACTGTATTATTACAATCATTATCTGAAATCCTGAGGTGAAGCTGTTCTGGTCTGCTGAAGTTTGAATGTTGATGTTTTAATTCAAGCATGGCAAATGTTAAGACTTGAGTCCTAATTTGACTTGCATCGGTAACAATATTGTTGCATTACCTTGTTTGATGAAAGCTCAAATCAAGCATGTATTAACATGTGCTGAAGAAAACAGCAAGAATAAAATTTCACACAATCCCCTTTACAACTCACACATTGTCAAGTTGTTAGAGCACAGATCTCCGGAGGTTTAAGCTGCCACATAACATAATTATCAAATGTCCTGTGGGTTGAACCATCTGTCTGCATTAATCTCATTCAACAAAGTACTATTCATAGAACTTGCGTCTTAGGAAGGGACGTAATCAGAACCTCAATCGAAACTCATTTCTAATAATTAATAACTCTGCAAGTCACTTCAGAGATTATGCTTGACTGGTCTAAAGCTTTCGAGGGGGATGTTTCCCACAGTGCTTAGCTCTTTTCCGACTCTCTGTGTATTATTTAACAATTAAAGTCCTATTTAAAAAAGGACAACACATCAATAGTAATCAGCTAAAATGACACTACAGAATTGCTCTGTCTTCAAAAACCACACTAATGTGGGTCAATTCTGTAGTTCTGTTAAGTTTACAATCGTTTCCTTCCTTTCCCTCGCTATATTCAATTAAAGTAACATGGTTACATTTCATGGTAATTTCATCTTTAGTTAACCAGGCCGAGCTAAGCATGAAAACATCAGCTGCTGACACACACACACTTAGAGAGAGAGAAAGAGTGTGCTTTTTTATCAGAATGACAATTATATCACCTATTATGTAATGTTTCACCGGTACAACCTTTTTGTTGGGACTGGTTCTTCATTTCTCTCTTCCTATTTTTGATGCAGATCTCTTGGTCTTGGATAAGCTGGGAGATAATAGCACAATCTGGATGGATAGCATGCACCTATAATAAGAAGAGAGGCACATTAACCAACATAGTCTAGATTACACGATGTTTGCAGTATTGGTTATACCAGCTTTTAAAATAATACAAAAATGTCAAATGTTTTCAAATAAGTCATGCTTCCCATCTTGCCCTCTGAATTACATAAAGTCACATTAAGACGTGCTTATTTTACCCCGAAAAAAATGCTTTTATTTGTTTTTATTATCATCAAGTCAATCCAAATGAAGTGATAGAAATTAGGCTAAATAGTTTGTACAGTTCTCCTACTTTGAGACGTATATATAGTGGAAAAGAAAACATAGGCCTACCATTTTTAGCTTAATTCTAAATTCAATGTAATGATGGAAATTCCAATATGATTCCTTTAGCGTTTTTCCTGCTATTGTTGTAAACATATTTCCATAAATGTATTGCGACAGTAAGCATAACTCATGCAGCAATTGTTCGCAGAAATCTGATCAAGACATCAAAATTGAATAGGCAAGTTCAGTATTCTGAAAGGAATCTATTAAAGTATGTTTTATGATCATGTGGAGAAAATGTATAACATTAAATACTTACAGCTCTCCAAAAAGTCGCGAATATGCACAGATGTAGTAGAACCGTCATATTAAAGTCACTGTGTGATGACCCAAGAAACACGAAATATCCCTGTAAATCCTCCAGCAAAGTGATCTGCTCAATTCAGAGTCGACAGACTGAAGTCTCTCTCTCTCTGTGGCTCTCGCTCTCCTCGACTGATGCGCGTGTGCGCGTCCTCATCATGCCTCGTGGAGCGCGCACTGGCAGACTGACTTTAAGATATAACCTAATTTCACAGTTGAATATGTAAGCATCTGTTTGTGAATGCATCTGGAGAAATGCTGATCTTTTCAGAGTTGTGTGGGATTTTGTAGAGGTAAGCAATGCTTTTGTAGACAAATGCTTGATTCATCAATATTTAATATGAGAAAACATCTATTTTTAGTTTGTTTAACAGGGGCAGATGATTCAGGGGAGAGGAAATATGGTCTGACAAAATGTGAATAATTGAAAACAACATTGGTAAAAAGACAGTGAGCCTTTTCTAGGGATTTTACAGGGAAGACCAGGATTGGTTGGCACAGGGGTTGGTCGGCACAGTTTTCATTCATTGTTAATTATCTCTGGTGGAACAGGCTGTAAGATTACACAATAGGTGCAAATGAAAGCTAAGGTTCATAAACAGACATAAAATGCTCACAAAACAACTAAAATTATGTTGTCCTAAATTGCATTTGTTATTATCCCAACTGCTTGGCAAATGGGGTTGCTTAATTGTAAAGCACCTAAAAACATAATGTTTAACAAACCAAACATTTAACCCACATTTGAAATTACTGTATTTTTATTTCATTTTGATAAATATTGTTTTGTGATTTGGTATTAACATTCCTTCCTCTCTTAAATAAAAAACAACAACAACACAAAAGTGGCGTGTCAAAGGAACACCATATGCTTTTACTCCACTTTACTTTATGATTAATTGTTTTCCTTACCTTTTTTTGAGACCAGGGTGGTCGAATGGTTAAAGGAGTAGTTCACTTTTTAAAAAACTTTTACTGATAATTTACTCACCCCCATGTCATCCAAGATGTCCATGTCATTCTTTCTTCAGTCGAAAGAAATTAAGGTTTTTTTGATGAAAACATTCCAGGATTTTCTCCATATAATGGACTTCAATGGGAACCAAACGGTTCAAGGTCCAAATGAGAGTTTCAGTGCAGCTTCAAAGGGCTTTAAACGACACAAGACGATGAATAAGTGTCTTATCAAGCGCAACGATCGCTCATTTAATAAATAAATAAAAAAGTTTAAGTTTTAGAAGCACAAATGCTCACCTTGCTCTGTTCTGTGATGAGCGTTCGTGACTCTCCTGTTCGAACTCTTTCATCAAAATGAACGAATCTTTTTTCGAGTCATGACTCGAAGGGTAGATAAGAACCTTATTTATCCTCTGGTGTCGTTTAAAGCCCTTTGAAGCTGCACTAAAACTCTCATTTGGACCTTGAACCGTTTGGTTCCCAATGAAGTCCATTATATGGAGAAAATCCTGGAATGTTTTCATCAAAAACCTTAATTTCTTTTCGACTGAAGAAAAAAAGACATGGACATCTTGGATGACATGGGGGTGAGTAAATTGTCAGCAAAAGTTTTTTTTTTTTTTTAAAGTGATCTACTCCTATAAGGCGTAAATGGACAAAAATCCCACTCCTGCTAGAAGTGCACGGTGCTCAAAAGTGAGCTTGTATATGCGGTTTAGACTTAATTTAATCCATAATCTGAAAAACAGTGTTTAATGCATGTTGTAGGAACATATCACAGTTTTTTCCTAGATCTCAGATCCTGAGCACTTTATAGTTAATCCTTCTATTCATCTATGTTTGCACACTCTTTGTAAACCAGGATGGCCGAGTGGTTAAGGCGTTGGACTTAAGATCCAATGGACAAATGTCCTCGTGGGTTCGAACCCCACTCCTGGTAGAAGCTTTAGTAGGCAAGCTCTCTAAACTGAGATTAGCTGATAACAACAATCTTGTCCTTGGAGTACTGTGTACTCAAAGATGATAGATTCTTGAAAATCAACCAAACAGATTATATAAAATGTCCCTTTGATTGCTACTGATATGCCTTTGAAAGAAATGACACAAGACTGCTTATGAGAGATTAAAAACTGCTATGTATGTCTAATTATTAAAACTAAAATTTTGTGTAAGTTTATTCCTGGCAGACCGTATCAGTAACATGCCATTATTATATTAGTATTGATTAGAGTATAATTGTCTATGCTAACAGTCACTTTATACTTTAAAGGTTAAGTACTATTGCAGTAAATTGTTGGTAATTGAGCTAGCATTGATTACTGTCATTTTAATGGGGTAATTGCTATTTTTTTACAGTCTATTTGGTAATGGTTATTTATTGGACTGAACAATCCCAGAGGCGTTTCAGATCTCAAATTCAAGGCTTGAATTTGAAAGGTTATTTTAGATAAAATAGCTAGGCTATGTGGAGAAAAATTATAATAAGGTAAATATTAGGGACCAGCATATTAAAGCCTGTTTATGAAAACTAGAAACAGTTAAGGATTTTTAGAGATGTCATAGTTGCAGCGCAACAAAAAAATGTAAACCTCCAACTGAACTGAAAATATGACGTGATAATTAATATAAGTATATCATATTTATGGGTTTGCCGTAATGTAATGTAGGCCTATAGTTATAATTTAATATAGTTTTATGGTTATGTGGGGCATGGTTATGTTTAATAATTTTGCACAGTAATCTGACAATAAATGTGGCACACCCAGTTTTTCAAATACACACCCAAATTCTCTTTTCTGGCTACGCTACTGGTTTTTAACAGAGATACCTTCGAAATGACTATTTTGAAAGTGGATGGCTATTTGCTATAGGAAGCAGAAAAAGTTAAGGTGATATTTTGCAGACTTCACCAATGGAGAAAAAATGGAGAATTTCGTGTAAAACTCAGCACTTGGTCGTTAGACCACCGTTTCCATGAGATTTATTTAGTTTCAGATTATCAATAGACTCGTAATATATATTTAATATTAATTATATTTAATATGAAAATATAATATAATGAATAATATTTTTCACACAGAATTTTGCCGTTTGAGTCAAGAGAATTAAAAAATAAATCCAAATTTGTTGAGTTAGCCAATGTGCAGCTGTTAGTTCGGGGCACGAGGACGGAATGTTTCGGTGCAACGTAGCTGAATGTACCATCTCCGCTCTGGGGGGGCGATATTCATAAGATACTGTTTTTTTTTTTATGAATATTTACATATTTGTACATACTGTGTAGATTGGAATAAACTCTTTAGTAATAAAGACGTATATATAATGCTAAATTAGTATAACCTGCATTGTATCCTTCCATATGAACAATGACATTTAGCAGGACACCCCTCTATCAGCTATAAGTTCGTGTTACCCGACTTCCTCGGTCTCTTTCTGTAATAGTGAGTCCGGCGGAGAAGTTCAGCTCGAACCGCTTGTCACTTTTCAAACTCTTCGAAAGTAAGTAAAACTTTAGTTTCCACTAACACGATAGTGGTAAATATGTTTCACTTTTATCGTGTTATTGCTGAAGTGTTCCGCTGTCCGTGTCGCGCCACGTGGGTGCGAATGAAACTCATGAGTTTAATCCGCTGCAGAATTTAAAACTCCTTGAACTTGATCCTACTCCATACACATCATACACTATCTCATGAGTTTATAAAGCATCTGGAGTTGATACTGACAGACAGCACACATGACGTTGAAGTTTGTTTCATATGTTCATAAACAGGGTGGGTCATATGAAGCATCTGTAACGGATCTGTGTGTGTGTCATCTAATCCTGACCTACAGGTCTCTGCTGGTTTAAATCTGGGTTAGACGTGTTGTTGTTACTCTGGTTTATTTGCTTTTTGTGTCCTTCAAGCCAAAGTCAGTTATTTTGCATAAATAAAACGGAGATCTAACGTTATGTCACATGGTAACTTGCAATGAGTTTCTTCATCTTTCTTTTCAACATCACTTTCTCATTCTTTTCACCTCAAACTAATGTAAATTTCATAATTTATGTATCTGAAATACAATTAAATATTTTATTAAAAAAAAAAAAAAAATACCCGTTCCATTTGTTACCATTACGACATGAGCTAAATCATAAAAATACTTCTAAAGCATTTATGAATGTGAATTACAACATTTACTAATAAATTATTAAAATCAACTTGTACATGAGTTAACATGAACTAACAATGAACAGTTGTGTTTATTAACAAACGTTAACACAAAGATGAATAAATAAATTTCTAGTTATTGTTAGTTAATGCATTAATTAATGGGACCTTATTGTAAAGTGAAATAATAAATAATACAACTTGATTGGCGATGACAAACAATAAAATGTTAAATTAACTCCATATGTCATAGTAAACATGTCAAAATGACATTTGGTGACACTGGAAACTGTAACCATGTACACTAACTTGGCATAAAACCTTGTTATTGGCTTATTAGTTTGTTGTAATAAAATGCATGGCATGTTTGTAACCTGAAAGTTGGATTTAGTTTTAGTGTGAAATTTGGCATGACCAAATTTTCACCATTATAAGGTAGGGAATGTTTGTTGGGATTCGGGAATGTAATCCTCCTCCCATCCTTAAATATTTTTGTCTTATTTTCAACTTGATTGTTGCCATTTACAGCATTTATTTGTGCAAAACTGGCAAAATATTGTAAATACTTTAATTGCTGTTCGAGTTCTCTGCACTTTTGCTTTTCACATCACAGCTTAGGTTAAAGGGATACTTCACCTCTGGAAAGATGAATGTGTATTTAAAATGGGTCATTTATGTAGAATAAATGTTAAAGTATTTTTGAATTTGGAGCTTTCTAGACTGAGAAAAGCCAGAAAATGTATGTTTGGCTTATGTGGATGAGAGACAACAACTCCCAGAATGCACTTGTTTCGCTGCCCTAGGAGGCCACGCCTACCGGTAACAGAGCGCAGTAGTTAAACAACAAGTCTAGGCTACTAGTGATGAGTCTGCCCGAAAATGTGTTTCGAGATCGCCCAAAATGTCCGGGATTCGGCTTTTGCGTTCTACAGTCGCCATTCATCATGTTTACTGTGGCG